CGGACGGACGGACGGACGGACGGACGGACGACGACGGACGGACACACACAGGGCAAAACATAAGTCCCCGTTTTCGGACTCCGTCCAAACGGGGACTAACAATCACAGATTTGTCTACAGCAGCAGATAAAATTGAAGAGTTGAAAGAATTTGCCATAGCCCAGGGACATTCTGATTTGTTGGAGCAGTTATTGAGTGTGCGAGACACAATATACATTAAAAGACACTTGAAAATTAGAACAGCTAAACAAAGCAAACTGAGTGATTTTTTCAGAAGGAAATTGAACCAAAACTGCTGCTGAACACTACTCATAATTGTGTAATGATTTTTAATTCACATAATACGTACAATTTAAAATTGAATAAAATCATCATTTTTTTATTTGTACTAAAGTGTTTGGATACTGTGTACAGTAGTGCGATATTGTGTGTGAAATGGAGTTGCAAGATCTGTCTACATACATACCAGTAGATTTAATGCCTATTTAATATTCATGAATAAATTAGTGAACCTGTCTCTCAAGGCCACCTGTCTTTAAAGGCCAAAATCTGGGTGGCCACTATAGACAGGTTTGACTGTAATAAGTTGACAAGAGTAGTAAATAGGCTGCAAATATGTCCTCACCTCCAAGTGCAGGCCAGTCATCATCACCATCTGGTACTTGGTCCCTCTTGGAATTTCCCTGCCATTTTTCACAGAAACTGGCTGCTATACCTACAACGTACAAGCACTTGGAAATAATCAACCATGGTATACAACAGGAGTTTACAGCATAAACTACAAACCACTCAAACTTTCTCTGCTGGGAATTTCTGCAATTAGACGATTTTATTGCATTTGTGTAGACAAAATTTCATGAAGGTCACAGACATTCACGGCGTATGACCCCAGAGAAATTATCACTGCTACTGACTCAAGAATTTGTTTTTTGTGAGATTGAAACAGATATGAGGTTATCACCTGATGTACAGCTACCGTAAAAATCATATTTGAGGCAGCAGCTTTAATAGAAGCCGCACTTCTAACTTGAGACATTGTTTCATGTTGAAATTGACAAGTTTTTATCCCAGAGAAACCCTGCATTATAAGCCGCACCCCAAACTTTCACGAACCAAACAGCCACCACATATTTCAGAAAAAATATATACCATTTAATTTTAAATTAAGGCATAATTTTTCGAACATTTCAATCTTTCCTGATGCCTAGATTAGAGTCTAACTTAGATTTTCCTTGGTCATTGACGCTTATTCAAGAGTACAGTGTTTATTGTGGGTAGCGTGAATGGGTAAACTGCGTTTCGACAATGAGCTGTTATTATCGTCTAAAGTGTTAAATTCTTCTTCAATGCTTAGCTTATCTTTCGAAAACAACTAATTTCTTGATTTAAAAAAAAAATCTGAGAGATAATCATGTCAGTGGTCATGAATTTGCAGTTGCTGCCATTGACAATGGTTTTTAATGATTAACTGAATTATTTGAAGTCTGGGAAATATACCATATTAACACAAAACATCACAGCTATGAATACTATGCCCATGGTCATGTGATAACAAAACTACAGACTACATAAAAATTACTGTAAATGGCAATCAGGATATTTTTTAAGTTTGTTTTTCATCAAACAATTTAATATTTGGCAACAGTCAAAGAAATCTACTGTGGAATACTTTATTTTCGCTGGAATTAATTTTCGCAGAAAAGGCTTTTTGGGCGTTTTGTATGGAATTTATTTTCACTGATTTTTGATGAGTTTAATGTGAAATATAGGAAAAAAAGTATATTCACTGGATTTTATTTTCACGGAATCATCCTTCCAGCGAAAATAGCAAAAATAAATTCCAAGCGAAAATAAAGTATTCTACAGTATTAAAGTAGTAGCCTAGTGAATAAAATTAGCCTTTGAACTTCCAGTCAATGTAAGGTAGAGTTTGAGGTCACCAGCCAGTTTCAGGAAAATGATGTATTCAAAGTAATTGGCAGCAATTTTGTTAGCATTTAGGCTTTTACCATTGGGTGCTGTGGTTGAGACATAGGGTGGCCGATTTATACATCACGACTTATTGGATACTTTTTGTATTTATGATTTATTAGTTACAAAAATGCTCTCTTGCTTTAACATTGTGTTTTACAAAACTGTTCTAAAAATATGTATAATATATTTTCCAAATATATTGGCCAATTTTCTTAAACTACAGAACTGTAATGCACAACACAATGAAGTTTCATGTCACCATGGAACAATAAGCTCAATAGTAATACATAATAAACCAAGGAAATATTCATGCAACAAAGTATTAGTACGCTTCTAGCTCAACCATGTAAAAAGTGGTACCGAAAGTACCACAAACAACTCATCATGCAACAGCACTCTCCTTTCACCAGAATGATGACTGGTACATTGTAAAGCAATGTTGTGTCCAGAGTGCACCAAACTAGTTCACAGTTTGACACTTACCTGGAGTATGTGGTCTTCGTAATGGTTTGTCGACGGGCATCACACCACGTCCAGCACCTAGGGCAGGCGGTACTGATGATTTCTAAACAGAGAAATACAATTTATAAGTGTAGAGAAAATGTAAAATACATTTGAGTACAAACAAGTCATTGTTAAATGACACAGTCTGTTCCAAAATTTTGTGATCTGACATATCAATTTGATGCTGATGAAGTCATTGAGATTAGATTGAAACCATTAATAGGAGATGGATTTGTAAAAAAATTATGATTTAGTGCTTTTACACGAGGATTGGAGATTGGGCAGTCATATTGAATCAAATTACAAAAATAATGTTCATGTTCATGTATCTATTAGTATACTGTCTTTGTATAAAATTTAAACAGAAATGTTCATTGCATTCAAGCTAAAGTAGCATGGGTACCATGAAAAACAAGATGGCCGCCAGTCTACCATATTTGTTTGAATCACAAAAAAAAAAATGAAATGCACCTACAACCCAATATGTATGATCATCATACAAACTTTGATCCAAATCATCTACGAGAAACTGCTGCGAACACGTTTAGGTATCAGAAATAGCAAATTTTACATCCAAAATGGCCGCCAGTCTGCCATTTTTGCTCCGATCATAAAGTAACTTGACGCGCATTGTAAGACATTATGTATTGTCTCCATGTAAAGTTTGAATGAAATCCGTTAATGGGTATTCGAGATGTAGCTTCGGACGTATGTACGTACGAACGAAGGGATGGACGAACGGACGGAACTAACCCAAATTAATAGTCCCCGTTCTCACACTTCGTCCGAACAGGGACTTAAAAATACTTTTCTGTCTGTAGTTCCACATGGATGGGCAATTGTCTTGTACTTTCTAAACTGGTGGAACAATTCTACCAGACATATTCAATATCTGATGACGACTATGAATTTATGTGTACCAATGAATGTTCATATCTTTAAAAAAATTTCTCACCTCTGAGAATGGTCTGAAATCACTCTCCCGCCTCGTCATGTCTGGTTCCTGGAATCTTATATTAGTCACTGTATTCTGACTATCAGACACTCTCTGTCTAGAAGGCTTATTCTGCAATGGTCTCACATCCATCTTCAGTTCATGGGGTTCAATTAATGTGTAAACTGGATCACTTGGTCTTTCTGGTAAATGTGCACCAGTCAGTTCCAGATTGTAGATGTTAGCCAGAGCATCACTCAAGCAGAAACTATAGAGAAGGAATATATATTTAAGTGATTGTTTTATTTGGCTGTGAGTCCATGGTGTGCCCCCTGTTTTGCCGAAAAATAAATTAAGTTATATACTTGTGATTCATTTGATTTATCGATCTTTATTCATAACCATATATTTTCTTTGCATTTCATTTTTTGCATGTATTGCTATGAGAAATGAGCAGCTTTAATTTGGCCAATATTTGTTTCGAACATCAGAGTAAACACCATATTTGTGATCAGTCATTTAGAACGCCTCCCTCCCTCCCTAAAAGTTGTTACTCGACGCAAACTATGGTAAGGTTGTATGTTTTTGGCGCTCTTTTGAGCAGTTTTGTTTCAGTTGTTTACGAGTTAACATCTGTTATTCAAGAATAAACTAGATTAAGTTCTAGTTTACATGATGTGTTCGTTTCAGTTTTCACCACTGTGACTGAAGATCACCCCCCCCCCCCCCAACAATAGTTCACATTGGGTCTGTTTCATAAATAGGGCATTTAAACCTAAGTCTACTTTTGTTACTAGTCAATGGCACGCAATGGTTTAAATAATTAATACTTGCACTCCATGCAGCACGAATAATGTCTTCCATTGATTCATGAACAAATTCTTTCAAAAGTGTGATGAAATTAAATTTTAAAAGTGAACTTAAAGTGAGAAAATAATAACATACCAGTATCTTTTTGCAGATG